TAGGGAAAGGTAATTACTGGACCCTGGATCCAAACTGTGAGAAAATGTTTGACAACGGGAACTTCCGTCGGAAGCGAAAGCGCCGCTCGGAAGCCAGCAGCACCCCTACGGTGGCCGTGGGGATCTCGAAATCAGAAGAAGGGCTCTCCCCGGGACTGGGGTCTGGAGTGGGTGGGAAGCCGGAAGCAGACAGCTCCCCGGCGTTGCTGAGACCCTCTCAGTCCCCAGAGCCTCCCGAGGGCACCAAGAGTAGCGCCTCCTCCCCAGGAGGGTCCGTGCTTTCCTCCACCCCTTGCCTGAACAGCTTCTTCAGCAGCCTCAGCACGCTGAGTGTTAACAGCAGTGGGAGCACCCAGTGGGTGCTCCCCGGCGGCCGCCCCCTAGGGATCCAGGGGACCCAGGCGCCCTCGGGCGGCGCGTTCCCCCCCAGCTCCGTCCCGGAGGCCTCGCCAGACTCCTTGCAGCTGAGTCACAGCACCAGCAATGGCAGCAGCCAGAGGTCTTCCTACTACAGCCCCTTCCCTGCCAGCACCAGCGGGGGACCAAGCAGCCCCTTCAGCACCCCTTTCTACAACTTCAGCATGGTCAACAGCCTCATCTACCCCCGGGAGGGCTCCGAGGTATAGACCACCCCCCACCCCGCTTCCCAGACTTGACTATGGACACCTGAAATCTTGTGGAAAATGCAGATTCCAAGGCAGTAGGTCTGGGGCAAGAACTGAGACTCTGCATTTCTCCAAAGCTCCCGGCTGAGCTTGCAGTCCACTGACCACACCTGGAGTAGCATGGATGCAGTAGGTAACTCTTTCTACAACCCGGCAAACTTTGACAGGTTTCTCCGGAGAGAAATCCAGCTCACTCTGTTCTGGGATCATACCCGTGAGCCCTGTGAGGGCATGGACCATGTGTGTGTGTTCATCACTGTATGTCAGGGTCACAAGCTCAAATGGGTCCAGGGACCGGCTACAAAAACAAGTGAATTAAGTTATTGGGTCGGAAAAAGATAACAGTTGGCACTGGAAGCAGTTGGGAGCGGTTGGGACCTTCGAGCTGAAGGCGGCTGTGGGCAGCTGGTTATCTCCTGCTTGACAGCATTCTGATTTTTCTAGAAAAGTCAGAGACCTGGATTTTTTTAAAAAATTTAAAAAAATTTTTTTTTTATAAATTTATTTATTTTTATTTTTGGCTGCGTTGGGTCTTCATTGCTTCACGCAGGCTTTCTCTAGTTGTGGCGAGCAGGGGCTACTCTTCGTTGCGGTGCGTGGGCTTCTCTTGCTGCGGAGCACGGGCCCTAGGTGCGCAGGCTTCAGTAGTTGTGGCTCGCGTGCTCAGTAGTTGCAGCTTGCAGGCTCTAGAGCGCAGGCTCGGTAGTTGTGGAGCACAGGCTTAGTTGCTCCGTGGCATGTGGGATCCTCCCGGACCAGGGCCCGAACCTGCGTCCCCTGCATTGGCAGGCAGATTCCCAACCACTGCATCACCAGGGAGGCCCAGAGCCCTGGATTTTTATAGAAAACCTCCATTTGTCTTCTTTGTGGCTATTGAGAGTTTTTCGAATACTGTGCTAGGAAGCGCCACAAATCCTTGAGCTCTACGCAGCTCACCAATCACCTCTGTTTATGCTCAGTGTCAGGTACATGGCAGATACTAATAGCAATAGAACCGCCCAAGCACACCCTGTGTGCCAGGCACTGTTCTAGATACTTGACGTATGTTAGCTCATTTAATCCTCACAACAACCTTGGGAGAGAGGTATTGTTACTCCCCCTCATTTTCTGTATGAGGGCAGTGAACTGCCAAGAAGTTAGTTAACTTGCCCAAGGCCATACAGATAGTAAGTCATGGACCCAGGATCCAGTTTTGGCCATTTGTGTGTGTGTGTGTGTGTGTGTGTGTGTATTTTGTTTTTTAGGGTTTTTTGTTTTGTTTTGTTTCGTTGTTCTTTTTGTTTTTTGACCTCACTGTGTGGCTTGCGGTACCTCTGTTCCCCTACCAGGGATTGAACCCAGGCCACGGCAGTGAAAGCGCCAAATCCTAACCACTAGGCCACCAGGGAACTCTCACCAGGATCCAGTTTTAAGGCGGTCTGGCTCCAGAGTCAGTGCTCGTAAGCTTTGTGTTCTAGTGTGTTCTAGTTCCTGAAAAACAAAGGCACCAACATGCATAGGCAGACATGGTGTCTAAAGAGTAGGAATGAGCTAGGTTTCATCTGACCAAAGATTCTGGTTGAAATCAGTATCACTTGAGACATTCTGAGCAGTGAGGATGGACACCAGTTCTGCCTCACTTCTGCTGCCATATTTCTGAGGTTTGGGGTGACCATCCTAATTAATTGGCATCCTATCCGTTTTAGCATTTGTCCTGGATTTTTCATCTTTGAAACAAAGTTTTCGAATTTTATTAAAAGTAGTTTTTAAATGGAATTTTTATAAGTTTTTAAAATAAGACATTTGTGGTCAAAAAAATTTTTTTATGTAATTTATTTTTAACATTCTCTTCTGCTTCTCAAGAGGTATCTTCCTTTAAATAGTTTTTTATGGTCACCCTCCTGGTGCCCAACAGAATGTCTGTACATGGCAGACATGCAGCCACTGTTTGAACTTATCCAGAAAGTGTGAATTAACATGCAGATAGTTGGTGATTTTATTGGAATAGCGATGTATTAAGATGAAGATAATGTCCTATGAATTGCTTTTGGACCATGTTGTTTGGTCTTTGATGGGAGCGTTGCTGGTTTGGGATTTTAATTTATTTAGAAAAAGGAACACAGATTCATTGCAAAAAATTTTTAACTCTTCCCTGTGTATTCTTTTTTGAGACTCTCACAGCGTTACTGTTAAATTTGAATTTTGAAATATACATACAGAAAATTATTTTTAAAAAATAGTCTATTGCGGTATAAATAACATCACCATTACTTTGTAAATATTATGCAGGAGGACAACCAAAGAGACTACCTACCGCCATATTGTGTGTACAGAAAAACGCTTTCTATGGATATTTTTCTATGTGAAAAATTGTATGGACTTTTATAAATACTGTTTCTAACACAATTCTATATTTGTAAATTAATTTATAATGTGAACTGGGACAAAATTTTTTTTTCCCCCAGAAAAGCACACTGCATGCTGGAAATCACATGAAATAAACTTTAAGTGGGATGACTTATGGCTACTTTTTAGGCATTACTGTTTTTCTGTCTTTAACTTCTTTCTCCTAAAGGAATAGAGCTATAAGTGGCATGGCATGGAGGCTGCTACAGGGATTTTTGTGTGTTGAGAGAGCGAACGATTTATTTTATTTTATTTTTTTAATTGGATTTGTTCCACCTACACACATCCTAAAGGGTTGGAGTGAAACAGTTCTGGAGGATCTCTAGGCATATGAGCATTTTATTTATTTTTAACAGAGTAACGGTTCTGTCATTTAGTTTAAACTAAGTTTCAGTGCACCAGACAATTTGTGTTCCAGAAAGAAATGGTGCTGTAAGGCCCCACCAGCTGGCAGCGCTCCTCAGGGGGAGCTCTGGCTTTGGCTGTTGTGGTCCTCAAGGGGGCCATGGGCAGCCCATCGTTTCCAAGAAAATTGCTAGGAAACTTGACCTTGGCCCCAGCTAGAAGAAACCTGAAGGATAAGGTTTCTAGCCTGGGGTTTCATCAGCACTATAGATATTTGGAGAAGGGTAACCCATTGTAGAGGTTGCCCTGTACATCACAGAATGTTTAGTAGCATCTCTAGTCTCTACCCATTAGGTACCAGAAGCAATCCCCCTTCCTCCCCACCCCCTCCCCTCCCCACCCCCTCCCCCTCTCCCAGGACCTGGCCATGTGTGACAACCAAAAGTTTCTCCAGATATTGACAGATATCCCCTGGGGGGGCAAAATTAGACCTGGATGAGAACCACTGATCTAGACCAACACCCACAATTTGCCACTGAGGAAATGGAGACCCCTCACTACCCCACACAAAGTCCTAGGCTCTAGGGCTAGCAGAGGAGCCCTGAATGAATGAGGCCTCTGGGCTCTGGTACAGGACAGTTTCTGTCCTATGAAACGGCTTAACGATTGTGGCATTTCTCAGAACAGATCCACCTGTTTGCCAGTCGCATTGGAGGTAGACTCGCCATATTTTAGTTGCTTGTTATAGATGCTTATGGTAGCTTCCTTCTTGGCATCTATTTCTATTAATAGAGACCTCGGCTGGGAATAATTCTGACCAAACAAAATTAAACTATCTGGGTTATTATTTGATGGGGATGGTGGTGCAGAGAACAGACTTAAGGATTTCTTGGAAAGAAAGATACATTAAAAGAATATGATTAACCTGTATTTGGAAGCATCTAGATCTGGGTGTTTGATAGCTATGAAATGTCTGAACGATGGCATTTATGAGAACAAAGGCTAAGAGGAGAATCCACTTCTGATCTCCCCGACAACCGCAAAGGGCTGCAGGGTGGCTCAGTCCCCTGAGCTGAGCTGGGGACCAAAGAAGCTGTGCCCAGGGCAGGTCTCCATCCGGGAACTGCCTCCCGCTGGGCCGGGGATTAAAGGGAAAG